TCACACAATCCCATCATTAACTCACCAACTCACTCATTCCCCCACTCACTCTCACACCAATTCCATCATTAACTCACCAACTCACTCATTCCCCCCACTCACCCTCACACACCAATTCCATCATTAACTCACCAACTCACTCATTCCCCCCACTCACTCTCACACCAATTCCATCATTAACTCACCAACTCACTCATTCCCCCCACTCACTCTCACACCAATTCCATCATTAACTCACCAACTCACTCATTCCCCCACTCACTCTCACACCAATTCCATCATTAACTCACCAACTCACTCATTCCCCCCACTCACTCTCACACCAATTCCATCATTAACTCACCAACTCACTCATTCCCCCCACTCACTCTCACACCAATTCAATCATTAACTCACCAACTTACTCATTCCCCCCACTCACTCTCACACCATTCAATCATTAACTCACCAACTCACTCATTCCCCCCTCTCACACCAATTCCATCATTAACTCACCAACTCACTCATTCCCCCCACTCACTCTCACACAAATTCCATCATTAACTCACCAACTCACTCATTCCCCCACTCACTCACACACCAATTCAATCATTAACTCACCAACTCACTCATTCCCCCACTCACTCTCACACAAATTCCATCATTAACTCACCAACTCACTCATTCTCCCCACTCACTCTCACACCAATTCCATCAATAACTCACCAACTCACTCATTCCCCCCACTCACTCTCACACCAATTCAATCATTAACCCACCAACTCACTCATTCCCCCCACTCACTCACCTACTCAACCACCACACTGCAGGTCACAACACAGCTCTATAATATTCTTTTATCGCACTACTCAGCTTTGGAATTCCATCCCATCGTCTCCTTTCCCAAGTATCTATAACATTGTCCAAATAAAAATATCTATTAACTTTACAGCTATTACACCTTCAAAAGTGTAGTTTGTTGCTGGCCACCTGACATTGTGGGCCTTTGGTCCCCGTACTCAGCAATTACGATTAAAATTTATTAAATTGTAACCGATTAATCCGTTCAACGAAGCACATCGATGCAATATTTCAATACATCACAGCACTGCAAAAGATTTAGGGATTCCCCAAAATATAAGGACACTTTTTCCCCACTTTATGGTATTTAAAAAAAAAAATTCGGAGGTGCATCTTATTACCTGGTGTGCACGGGTGGATGTGGGTGGGTGTGTGCACATCGCGATGAATCTGGCAATTGAGTTCCATTCCCACTCACGGCCAACACCACTGACGGATATCTTAACTGGTCCTAGGCCTCCCCCACGTTGACTCAGCCTCAAATTAGTAACTGCTGAAGTGTGTAAACATCTCCACTGGATAGACAAAGGTGCGCGTGGTGCTGGCCACCCGCCGCCTCGTGTGGCATGCCAGCTTTCATAGGTGTTTGCTAACAGCACTTGCCCCAAACGTTTAAGGCTATATGGGGGATCTTTGCCTTCGTTTTTTGTTCCATGTGTGACCAGACATATATAATTGTTCGGACCCCGGAAACAAGTTTTTCTGTGCGTCTTACTTTCCGGGTGCGTCTTACTTTCGTGGAGGGGAGTCGTCTTACAAATCGAACGAATACAATAAGAACAGCTGAGCCACACGATACCCGCGGGGGAACCAGGGAGGGGCGTTTGGTCTGTGCCGATGTCTGCCGGGCCACGCACCTGTCCAGCCGGCCAGGCAGCGGCAGGTGCCGCTCTCCGCGTCGCAGCCATCTGCGTGGCTGCAGTCACAGCGCTCCTGACAGCCGAGTCCGAACGTCCCGTCCTCGAGAAGGAAGAAAAAATCGAGCAAAAAAAATAATTTCCTTCAGTGTGGCCCGCGCAAGGAGGGTGCGCCAGCGCAGATGAGTACGCACGGAATACCCCTCCCAGAGAGGCTCTCTCCCGAGCTCCCTTCCACCAGCAGTGAGCGTGAGCGAGCGATTTCCGGGAGCCGCAACTGCACCTTTTCCCCTCGGTGTTCACCATCGCAGCACTGGTCGGCTACAGGCGGTCAAAGAGAACACGAAACGCTGGCGTTCTGCATAAAATATCACTACAAGCTGTGTTGAAAATGCCATTTCATGTATTAGGAATGTACTTTCGGGAATTTAGAATGTTAAATGATGGCCTACATCTACGTACGTTTAACCCTGATGCACTTAAAAATGTACAGTTCTTGAATGGCATGTGTGATTCTTGTAATTAAGTTTGATGGGTCACAATAACAATTTGATGCCTGAATGCTACATATATGTACAGGATTATAAGTAAATTATTTCATGCTATTGGTAAAATTTTAACAATAACCCATTAAAATGGACCACATGACAACCGTCTGCAATAATAATGCACACCAGTTCTCAGCAGATTCCCACAGCTATCATATTAAAACCACCAGCATATCAAAATATCATCAATGGTTCCAATGAAAAAAGCACGAGTGAAGATAAACAAGCAAGATAATAAAGCATGCACATGTATAAAATATGTACTGCTTTCTGTCTGTCGTAGAAAATATTTTAGTTTCGTAGTTATCGGCATGAGGAGTGGTCAGGGAAATTCGCAAATTCGCCAATCGTCCTTTATGCATGCTTTGTCTCCAAGTTTTGGCCAGAGCTTTTATTTACATTTTTTACCGGTTTTCTCTCGGGTAAGTCCTTCATAGCAACACAACATTATAGGAAAGTTGTAGTTGATACTTGACCATAATTACGAGAGGCATCATAATCCCACGGACAGACCGATGGACAGACAAGACATACGGACGAACAGATGGACGGAAAGCGAATATATTAACCCTTTCAGCCTGAGTTGGAACGCATAAAAAAACGTGGGCATTGTTGCATTCATCTCATCTTCAAGACGCCGAACTCATGTGCGTGCGCGGTGCGGCGGGGAGAGGGCAAGCACGCTCACAGGGCACGGCACGTCGCAGTGTTCGCCACGCCAGCCCGCACCGCAGGTGCACTCCCCGGTGAGCGGGCTGCACGACGCGCCGTTGGCACAGGAGCACGACGCGTTGCAGGCAAGGCCCCAGGTCCCGCTGGAGCACGGGATGGAGCAGTCCACGCCCTGCCACCCTGCATGCGCAGCATCGTCACGGTGCCGAAATGTTAACGAGCTCGCCTGGCATGCAGGAGGTCGTGGTTTGATCCGACCCTAACGCCTGCTGTATGTTTGGAGTTTGTGGTGTGTCTCTCTCCCCCGTGGTCGCGTGGATCCTTCTACAGGTTCTCCGGTGTTCCCCTCCACATTTAGAATCGACACGCGTTTAGAGTATTTGGTTGATATACATTTCCAAGTGATGATAATCCACTTCGTTGAGCTATCATTTGTGGCCAGGTCGCTTCTTATCTAATAAATAAAAAGTTTAAATCGATTTATTTCGGTTTTTTTCCGTAAGTATATTCCAAACGAGGGCCACCTCTGGACTTATATCCCAGTCCAGAGGTAGCTGGTTCAGTTTCACCTCCCAGCACGGCAGCTGAAAACAATGGGCCAAGTTTCTCAGTTCCCCTTGCTGCTTGTCCAATCTAGCAGCATAAATGAGTCATCCAAGTAAGTCGATCGGCTGGTCACGCAGGATGTATAAAGCGTGGGTAACCCCTGTCTTGACCAAGATGCCTGGTCAGCAGGAGAGAATAGGCCACAATTACCATCTGAATGGGCTCTCCAGATTCCTTGCTTGTTGAGTCCCTTCACCAGCAATGGCGTGAATAAGCAAGTATATGGCTGAAATTTGTATGGTGGCATTTAACATTTGACTGTACGTATTAAAATTGCTAATTACCACGCACATTAGATCGTGCAACAAATCTCTGTAAATAATGGAAGAAACTTAAGTTGGGGCCTTCTTGGTACTTGAGAAATTGTCTGGGGATATCTGGAGGTGTGTGCCTGGGCTGTTAGGTGGTCAAGTGATGGCAGTAGTAGAGCAATGACCATATTCTTGAATCTATTTGTACAGAGTTTTGATTGTTATCTCCTCGTTTGGGTGGGGGTTTTTCTGCTTAATCCCAATTTCTTTCCGTATCCCACTTAACGTTTGAATTTGACAAACATGCAAAAGTATGACTCTCCTGGAAACGAGCCTTAGAACTCTGACGTTTCCCGAGATGAACAAAGGGCATTTAGTTTTATTTCGATTTCGCTCACGAAACAGCCATTGGTCACTTTCACAGTTTCAGAATTTCTTCATTACAATTTCCGTGATAGAAGGTAGCTTAAGCGATGTCCGTCATGTTCACTCACCACTGCCGCAGATGCACGACCCATCCATGGGTGAGCAGACACCTTTGTTCCTGCAGGTGCAGGAGGATGAGCAATTTGCTCCATAGGACCCGGAGTCACAAGGCTGGGAGCAATCCGCACCCTGGTACACAAACAAACATAAGGGAATATATTCATCACTCATCATCATCAATCTTGGTCAATCCGAATGAAGGTCTCCCTACGCTCCTGTTATCTCTCATGATTCTGCAATGCAATAATCGACAAACCGCCAGCAAACGAGCCGATTTCATCACCGCCACCTTCTCAGCGGACGTCTTCTCAAGCGTATTTCATTCCTTGGCTTACACTTTGTCATTATTCTTAACCATGGTCCATCATCCCTTGCAGAAACATGACCTACCCAAGCACACTTACTTTTCTTAACCGTTTGAATTATGCCATTAACCTGCGAATGTTCCCAAATTCACGTGTTCCTCTTAATCTCTTTCTCAAAGTAGTTGCAGGCATATATTAATGTACTGCATTTTTCCTTTGATGATGGTGATGATGTATTACCAGCAGCTATTTTGTATTCACCGCTGGATGAAGGCCTCCCCCTGCCATCACCATCCCTCACGGTTCTGCAATGCTGAAATCCGCATCACTCCAGCACTTGAACCTATCTGACAGCTCCATCTCAACGGTAGTCATCCTCGCAGACACGTCCCATCAAGTAGCTGCCACACCAGCTTGAGCAGGACACATCGCGAACATCGTCTCACGTGTTCACTCGCAACTACTTTTCTCAACATTAATTTCGAGCATACTCGTGCTTAGTGCATGAAATAAGAATTTCTTCATTTCGCTTGTTGTGATGACGTTGATGCCAATGACGATGAAAACGATAATAATACAGATAATAAAGATGCAAACATTTATTTTTCTGCTCTAATTTCGGCACAACAAACCAAGCCAATCGGAAAACCATTCATATAAGTAATGCATTTTCAATATCAAATTTATGACATTGTATACTTCATAAAAAGCAGTTTTATATAGGTATGAAATTAATTATTGTACTGTAATAATTTTAACCACAAAATCAATCGCGGTAAATAATTGCCCAGAGCCCCTCAGTAGAGGCACATGAAGTTACCTTCTAAGTTTCAAGCAAATTATCACTGCAAATTATTTTGCAGGCATAAACACGTCGCTCAAAAAACTCTTATTACTGTCTCTGCAATTTGTCGCACGCTCGCCACACAATGCTTTACTGGGCAGAGCCTTTGCCGGCTTGCCCAGAGCAATTAACTGATATTGCAGCACCTGCATAATTGCCACTAGCTAATAAAAGTGACACTCGAGGGATTTTCCGCGGCATAATGAGTGTCGGCGAGCCGCAGACGTGCAGGAGAGCCACCTTAGCAGGTTTGACGTACTTAAAACCGCGGCGACGCTTCCGTGGCGCAGTCATTATCTCCAACGCTACGGGGCATTATGCACTTGGGGATGGCTGTTACGGGGACAGCCGCAGCTGACAGCAAAAATTCCCAATAATACGTTGCGGTTTCTTTTTCAACCCCCACCACTGCTTGGGATAGCGAAATGTGTGAAATCGAGAGAGGTGGAAGCCCGACTTGCGTTTGTATGTAGGAGTGGTGTATGTTGAACTTCTTTCGCACCGTACGTAGACAACAGTGCTACGTAGTCAACCGTTTGCCCTTCTCCTTCTGAGAATTTTTTCGGAGCCAACACTTGCTGGTGGGATTGTTTAATTCCAAATACTGTCGAGAAACATTACATTCATATATACACAAAAAAATACCCAACCAAAGAACATTTATTTTAACAAGTCTGAGACAGGTGGGAATAAATAAATAAATAAATGGATGCAATTCAAACCTTATGTGGGCCACGAGTCCGCAATATGTAACAGATTACATTGAACAGGGACCTTTGCAAAAGTTTTTTTTTTAGGTGAGAACTTTGGAAGGTCGTTGCCGATGCATGCACTACATGAAAAAAAACCCGGCCTGTCTCAAAGTCACCTCGAGAAAAAGACTCTGAACTTACGGTCGCCAACAGAAGTTCATTAGTACTCTGTGGTGGCATCCGGCAGCTGAGTGGCTGAAATAATGGGATGATTGTAATTAGGTTCACGTTTTTCTGTAAATGGACACCAAATGTCTGACACACCGACCCCTTTGGCTTTTCATGCTGATACTTGTAAGCTACTGAAATCAACAGTCCTCGTCAGTTATCCAAGTTCCACTTAAACTATGACCAGAATTATAAAAAGAATCACGTAAACTTAAATGCATTACGAATTTAACGCAAGTTGACTCATCGGTTAGGTTAATGAAAATTAGACAGCTTAACCTTTAAAAAAAATGGTTTCGTCAAGTGACGAAACTAATCATGTACCGCCAGCAGTGCCCTACATCTGAAATAATGTGTGAGCATGTGTAGTTCGAAACGTGTGGCCAACCCTCAATTTCATTGATTCCTGTCAACATTCTCTGAACCTGCCATTGTTTGGTATTTTAAACAAGCAGCATGTCAGCAGGTTGTGGATTTGGCGAGGACTAAAATAAAGTTAAGCAATGCACCGCGATGTGTTTTCGGGTTGTATCCCACGTTGTCCGTCCGTCACGACGCTCAACGTTTCACTCCGTGTGTTGGGAGCTTCTTCATAAAACGTTTTGATTCAGTTTCTCACAGCTGTACAACACGACCACGATGATCTGCGTAACATATGTTAAGCTTTGCATGCTACTGGGCTACAATTCATGGGCTTGGGTTCATACGTTAATGAACTCTAGTTTGCATGCAGAACTCAATACATCAAAATGACCCCGAGCTCTTTTGCCAAAACACACCGTGTAAGACGTTTGGCAGCCCAGGTCACCGGTAACGAATAAGCAAACAAATAAATCAAAGTTGTATTTTCGCACGGATACATGTAAATACTCTACACACAAAATGTACGTCCGTTTGTTAAAAAAATAAAATCACGCTCTCTGTCTGTTATTAACACACACTTGAACGTCCTTCTGTAATTCCCGTCGCAGCGTTACATTTGTCCGGCGATAACATTGTGCCCATCAGGGAGATCACAGCAGCGTGCCCGGACCGTAACGTTTCAATCACTGGCCGGCGAGGACGCGCCGGGCACTCTATCGAACGCGGGGCAGATTGCCACGGTTAAGGCTGTCACTTCAGTTAACCATCACTCGTTGCTGATGCCAACAGCGGAAAACGCCCCCACCTCCTCCTGCCCCTCTCCAATGTCTGGTCGCCCCCCCCCACCCACCATTGTCTGCTGTAGTGGCTGCTGAAAAAAATTCCCCCCCAAACCATAACCAGTGGCAACTTTATTACCACACGGTATAAATAACAGCATTTCCACTGATCATACCGCTGCAGTTCCATTATTACTCGTGATTGTTTTATTTAATTTAAAACTGCATTGTAAAGCTGTACTGCTGCTGTTGTTGTGCTATGAGCGTTCATTGCTTCCCTCCACTACGCTCACAGCATACTTTGCATTTAGACTGACCGATATACCATTAAGCAAAGCGTGGGGTCGTATGTGAACACAGGCCACAATTTGTACATCAACGTTTACAAACGCATAAAAAAGCGAACCGTGACAACGTGGAATTACGTTGCCAGATGCAGAGAGAAAGTTTCACTGTATCGGAGGTAACAAAAAAATCACGGGCAACCCGTTTCGCCATGCAAAGCAGGTGCGCTGTACGTTGCAATTAACATCTCAAGAGCAAGATTGTGAGTGCAAGACTGTAAATGTAACACCACACACGCAATTTCACCGGCCACAAAACGTCCTTGGCGGTGTGCGCGCAATGTCAAGCAAGCCACAAATCCCTGCCTAGGAACCCAGCAACGACAACGTGACATGACTGGCGCTAATCGCGTCGATGACTAATTAACGAGAGCCCCGGGGGTGACAGGGCCCAACAGATGTAGGTTAGCCGCGATAATGACTGAAACGTCACGGAATGTCATTTGCGTGCGCCAGCCTGCGCCGGGCGCCACAACGTGTCAATATCGGAGGGTAGACGATCTCTCACAGCTGCGCGGTGGTTGCGGGCGCAGACGGCTGCCCGCGCTGATTAGGGGCACGAGAGCGTTGCTGTGGCCTGCATCCTCATGCCTCGAGATGATTCACGCATGCACACAAGAGCCCTCTGCTCCCCGCTCGGCGTCACGCGTAGAGAGGTGACACGCGCGACGCAATACCTTTGGGACCGAACAGTTAGGTGTATTTTAAATATTAAGAAGATCACGATGTATGTTGAATTTTTTTTTGCGCGCCGTACGTCGCCAACCGTGCTCATCCGAGGTGGTGATGATGATCGTGATAGAAGTACCGGTGAGAATAAGAATGATGATGATGGTGATGATAAGAAGATTCTTCTTCTTCTTACAGAATTCAATTTTCGACACGAAGTGACGGTGAGGTTTTGGTCGATGTCTAGTTTACACGCTCTATTCTCGGAAGAAATCGAGAGCTAAACTCAGTTCTCAGTTTGATGGATACGTTTGATGGCTTTTTTTTCCTTTGCCACTTTTAAAACAATCAACATTCCCACAACTTGGTGCAAGCGTAGGGAGAATCTTATGTAAGCATATTGATTCGATAACAAGCAGCGTTGTGTATACAAAGTTTAAAGTGAATAACGTCAACTCCTTAGCGCCCATTAGTTCACAACAGCCCAGCGAGGATGCCTTGGAAGCCTGCGGATTTTAATGGGGTTGGGGGCTTTTAAGGCGGTTGACAGATATGAACCAAATTCCTTTTTTTGCTGCAAGCAGAAAGAGGAATATGCCCGAACTTAGCCAAATGAGACAAGCTTGGCTTAGCTTATGCTTGTGGGCCCCCCACCCCCTTACACCCCCCCTCCGTCTCGCACATTCACACCCCGAGTCGCCCGTCTCTGCTGCCAAAAGTGTGGCTTGCTAATGCTGACGCACAGATGCAGCATACTTATTAGGGCTTCACAAGCGAGGTGCATTTCAAAGCTTATATATAAAAAAATACCCCCCCCCCCGACTATACAAGGTGAATAAATCAGTGTGGGGAGGGTGGGTGGGAGGAGGTGGAAGAAAGAAAACAGGCGTGGAGCATATACACACAAGGCTTAATGGATTTTATTTTGCATTTAGCTGCCAAGGTTAAATACCAGCGCTGTTTGTTTGCGGTTCAACTTCAGAATCAAAATAACCGTGCGACAGCTTGGATTGAAGTGCAGTTGCACATGGCCAAGTTTCCTCGCCCCTACATTTTACCATCATGCAAACACAACGTGTAATGAGAAGGATGAAGCAAAACATGGCAATAATTAAGCATTCAAAGTCTTCCAGTTGTCCACGCAGTGGAAACCTAATCACGTGAGTGTGCGGACTGGAAAACGTTACGCAAATAATTATGGGTCAGCTACTTGAACACGTTACAAAAGAGCAAATTAAAATATTATGAAAAGGCCCCTGCAAAGTTTTATAAATTGAGTATGCGCATTGCAATACATCGGTGATTTCAGGTCGATTTAAGGGCAAGTTCAAGAGGTCATCATGGCCAATGCCTAGAATGTCACCGCAACTCGCTAGGGCCTCTATCATTTCACTAGGTGCTGGAGTTGTTGTAAAGTTGATACCTGACCATCAGGGTCCTCTCTTACAGCATCCCATCATGTGGCTCTAGTCTCCCCTTGCTTGCCAACCTTTGAATGCGCTCCAATGTCGAATTCAGAATCCTGCCCTCCACTATTCTATGCATGTGTCCCATCCTCCACATCGGTCTTTTCACGTTTTTTTTTATCAACAACATTGTATTGTAATGTTCTATACTTAACTACGAAGTTTATTTTTTTTGTTACCCTATCCTTTCATTCAATTCCTGGAAACCGTCTGCAGGCAACAACATTCAAAGCCTAGATGCATACTCTCTAGTTGTGTTTGTCAAGTAGAGCTCTCCGCCAGTACAGCAACATTGAACGGGTGGCCTTCATCTCTTCCCAAGTGTTTCACATAACTCTGGAGGGGGGGGGGGAAGTGGGGGGGGAAGTCCAGCGGTCTTGTTTGGGGGTCAACCAGATCAAAAAGGTTGCGAGACACTGCCATACACGAATGCACTATCGAGCAATGAACTGAATGGGTTATGTGCACGTAGAGTATGCATTTTAATAAGTAATGCTGTGGAAATCTTTGGAGTACGTTTAATTGAACATAATCAAAGCTGCCAAATCCTTATTCTTAGTTCCAGATCAGTGACACAGTAACAGACATTGCACTTTCGCAGCGATCCAGTTGCTGTTTTATTCATGGAGTGCCGGTGGTAAAAATTTATGCAATGGAAAGTTAATTAATGCCGCATTAACACCCTGCTTAAATGCATTATGTATTACATATGCTTTAACCAAAGTAGATTAGCATTCTGGGTTTGCACTAGCAGAGAATTTTAATTGTAGTGTGTTTTTTTTATCACGCAAATTGTACATGTACAACATCTGAATGGATTGTGTTTGTGAACATGAGAAGCATGGCATTGCTGTTTATTGAGTTTTCAAGTTGTGATTTAATTTTGTAAGAAATGTAAAAAAGAGAAACGGGATACATGGTATGATGTATGTTGAACCTTTTTTTTCGCACTGTACGTAACCAACCGTGGCTAATCGGAGATGCAGGGGAAAGACAGCAAACTAAACATAATCCAGAGGTCGCCGATTCAATGTCCCGGCGTGGTAAATACACATGGGCAGGTTGTGAAATGTGTGATAGAGTAGAAGAATATCACACATACCAGTGAGAGGGGGGAACCACATGCAAATCATTTCTCTTGAGCGGTGTATTGTATTCTTAGGTTTTTTTCGGTAAAGTCACGTAGGTAAAACATTAAAAAGTTAAATAAAATAAAAATCACGACGTTTCGGAGGCAACATAAGATTCCGTCTTCAGGTGGGACCGTCACAGCCACGACAGCTGTATCAAGTAAATGAGAGATTGCAGGAGCTACCACTCCGTTTATATAATGGTTGGAGAAGGTGGTGGGGCAAGGGCCGCAACTTTTATTAATATGGTAAGGTGAGGCTTAAGAGGGTGAGCCTTTGTTATGGAGAGGTACGGTTTGTGAATCAACCTGTGACAGGGAGACAACCACTAAACATGGTATTGTATTAGTATTACGACAAAACGTTGACGTTTAATGTCCCAGACATACTTACCGATTTCCTACGATAGTTACCTCAAAAGAGGATAAGCCTGAGAAAACCAGGACAGATGGCAAACTAGAAACACGTCACGGGACTGAGACGGGCAGGTTGCAGAAACAGGTATTGGAGTGCCACCCGTAAGGCAATGCTGGCTGCGTTGACAGCGAATCACATTGTCAGCTGACTCACCCAGTGACCTGGTACACAGTGAATGTGGTGTGCATATAGAGGAAGCAGGCGAGGGAGCTGAAGCTGTTCCATATGACAACAAATCTGAGCCGAGGCGCTAAGGAAAGGAAGCCGTGACAGAAAATGAGACGGACTTTGCCCAGCAGTGGGAAGTTACAGGCTGACAACAAAAATCAAGGTCAGGGCTTTAAACAACCTCAAGGCAAAACACAGCTCAACTCTTTGGGGCCACATAATTGGCACGAGGTGGGAGCAGGGAGCATATTGGAGTGACAGCATGGCTATGGCGCATGGTGGAGGTGACAGTACGAGTGTGGGGCATGGTGGAGGTGACGGTACGAGTATGGGGCATGGTGGAGGTGACAGCATGGCTATGGCGCATGGTGGAGGTGACAGTACGAGTATGGGGCATGGTGGAGGTTACATCACGAGTATGGGGCATGGTGGAGGTGACAGTACGAGTATGGGCATGGTGGAGGTGACGGTACGAGTATGGGGCATGGTGGAGGTTACATCACGGCTATGAGGCATGGATGCTCGTCTACCTTGTATCCGGGCGCACACATGCAGCGGCCTGTCACGTGCTGGCAGTCGGCCCCATTCTGGCAGGAGCACACCTGGGCGCAGGCTTCCCCGTAGAAGCCAGGCGAGCAGGTCTCGTTGCAGTAGAGGCCGGCCCAGCCCAGCTGCATGTGCACTCCCCTGACATGGGTGGCAGCTTCGTGCGCACGAATCGGGAGGCGGCGAGTCGAGGGCACGTTGCGTCAGTGCGTGCGGAGTGTAAGTCGGTGGAGGGTTCAGGGTCGTGGAGAGGTCACGGCAAGTGCAGACAGAGAGTGAGAGAAACAACATAAAACATTCAGCGTCAGTTATGTTATTATTTGACAATGTTTGTGGCGGGAAGCACAAGAGAAAAGGATGGCCTCGTGATAGTGTGTGGTCTTTGGTGACAATGCACAGCCGTGCACTCTTACAAAGAGGGCACACAACAGACCACATGATCATGAATTTCACAAAGGTATGACCCTGACTGAGTCCTTTTTTTGTAAAACTTAAAAAGCAAAGCTACCTTTAGCCTGGTCGGTGAATGAATCGTTGTTATAGGGCTTGGGCTGTGAAGAAGCGAGGTGGTGGCACTTCAATGGATCTTCACACTAACTGTGTGGACCTTGAGCGTCACAACCCGGTGTGTGTGTAGGTGTCTTCTCTGGGTGCTCTGGATGTCTTTCCCTCCCCTGCATGGCATGAAAACTGATCAATGCATTTGGCCGAACGTAACAATGCAGGAATCTCGTGAGAAAGATTCTTGACACTCCGTGATGCTGGTTGAATTGCTAAACAATACCGAACATACACAAAACATACACTTGACTTTATTTGTATTTTTCTGACCTGTTTTGCAATATTTTAAAGACTGTCTTCAAATGAGCTACGAAAACAGGTTAAATCATGTATCTACTCTGCACTGATGTTGCCTTGGTGCGATCCCTAGGACACTGGACTCGCAATCCAGAGGTCGCCGGCAGATCGAACCGGCGCGGCGATTGAAACAACGGTGCAGGTCTCCCAAATCCTCCCCCGCCACTGCCTCTGTCCACCGAGCAATATGAAAGGGTACAACCACCACAAACGGTCAATCTGCAGGTTGGGATGAAGTGTGGGTTCTCGCACCTCTTCCAAGACGTCTGGCCAGCGTGTGAAGAGAAGGCCAAATACACGACAGAGGGGTTTCTCTAGTCGCCCATCCGCAAGCAGCGGTGTGAGCATAAAGCTGTGAGGGATTCACCTTGACTTTTACTCCGCTGCAATTGAGACATTGTCCATTGCGTTGGAGGCTAGTAGATGTAATATAAAACAGCAGCGCGTGGGCAGAAAGTATTGCTGTTCTCGAGGAGTGCTTCCTTTGTAGAATTTTGCACGCCGCAGCCATGGGACAAAATAATGGATTTAAAATTGGGGAGGGGGAAATGTTGGCCCCGCATTGCTAAGAGCAAAAATCTTGTTTGCTATCGAACCATTCTACCAGAGAAATAAATAGTGCATTCAACAAAGAACTATCCATGACCAGAAAAAAAAATCACATCTGCGTGTTAATTAGTGGAAGACGTATGTGTAACAAATACATTCACTTCAGTTGCGCGTTTCCACTTTCACACTGAATGCAAAAAATCTGCTCAAAGATGTCAAACATCTCTGGCCTGTTTCGCAAAAAATAACAAGGGATAGAAATTCCAAAAGATTCATGCAAAATAACCAATCTTCTATGAATCTAAATTAAACTTAAAGTTGAGACTGTGTTGGCAGTCGTGTACAACCACAATTTAAATAATTCACCACCTTCATCAACAGCACTGCATCTCATCGCAAAAAATAAACACTGCGCTGACATCTTGGGCATTGACCCTTCTTCAGAGGAGAGAGCACAGACAAGAATGACTCACTTGCAGCGACTTGTAATGTTAAATGCGACCTCCATCTACATGCCAGTCAATCTGTCCGCTGCTTTCTTTGATTCAGGGCCGTCGTAATGCTTTTGATGAATGTGGTGATTTATTTTACTAGCGTGCAGGTTTTCGCAGTTGTGCTCTGTGGAGCTCTATTATGTGCTTTCGGATTGTGGCATATTTTGTTTCTGAATGATGCCCGACGTTTTGATCCAATTGGACGCAGTTGGCCAAAAACGCTCTCTCAACACGCAGAGCCAACCCATTGGATATCGCGCCCAACGACACGCGGCACGACTCGGACACCCCAGAGAGCGGTGAGCTTTGTTTATCGCCCTTGAAATAACGCTGAAGTTGCAGCGAAGACATGAAACCACAACGCACTGCCAACTCGGACGCCTTCCTGAAAAAAAAGTAACGGAATACCCAGCAAGTGATGGTCAGAGACGATGGGCAAATTCATGGGTGGAAAACAACGGTTGAAAACAACGGGGGGTTGTTTTCCACCAATTTCAGCTACCCCCCCCTCTCTCTCCCTCGACACCAACCCTCCCCCACAGGGGCGATGGGCACGGTGCCCTGGACATGAGCCGCCAAAGACAGCTGCAAGCGGCTGCTTTGCCCAATCGTCGCCTCCTGTCAATGCTGGGGCCACGCACGCGCAGCGCATAAAGGGGAACTTGTGCGATGGAAACGCGTCGTTAGCGGGGGGCGCCCGGCGCCGCTGTAAACAAGCGTCGGCTTGGCTCGAGGTGGCTTCACGGGAGGGCTCAGGCGAGCAGGCATTGGCAGGCACAGCTGCACGCGTAACTCGCCTTCACAGCTCTGTGTGTGCATGTGTTCACAAAGTGCCACGCAGTCTGGGATTGTGTATTTATCGGTGGAGTGAAATGACATTTGTCTTCATAATTTCAACTACTGTTGCCCTGTATGTAAAACACAATATTGTTTATGAACACTTTTAGCTGTTATATTTAAGGTGAAGGAAACCGAAGGGAGATTAATAAAAAAAATATATAAGTTGAAGCACATGTAAGCAAACTATTACGTGCGTGAGTTTTTTTTTAAATCATGATACCCATTACACAGATAATCCTCGCTGCATGACTTTTCTAATTAGAGTCAAGTTCCTTTTTAAGCCTTGTGGTTAACAATGCCATTGTGTGATAGCGGCAATTCACATTTCTGTGACTCGCGAGGGCTTTCTTTGTGGCCAGGTCGCCAATCCCTGGCTATTACATATAGCTTTGTGGCCTAAGCTCTCTTGGAGCCTCCCCAGAGTATTCCATTTCATTAACAGGCCGATTCCACTGCGGCCTTTCTGAGTAAATAATGCCACCAGGGAAACACCAACAAAACCCAATAGTGCTGTTTTATAATGCTGCTCAGGAGAGATTGAATTCTATGCTTTTTTCTGCTGTTATTTGTTTGGCATTTGTTTGGCAAGGAATGTGGAATGAGCTGCCAGTGTTAGCCGGTACATTGCTTTGAGAATAAACACTTGTGCATTACGCAGATGGATGCAGCATTATGGAAATGTACGACTGTGTTTGGGTTTGTATTTCGGAGGGCAGGAGGGCGCACCACAAATTTACGTGTGTCCCTCATGAGCACATTTCTGTGGAGGCGGCTTCGTGTTGGACGTCCGTGGACTGCCGGTCTTTGTACGATTAACCCAACGCTAGCACTTGTTATGCCAATGCATTTCAAGGCTGTACTGAAGCCTGCCAATTTATATGATTAGTGCCTCTGCTCGTGGCTTGATAGTGGCAGCATATAACGTTATAATAATACTTCTATGTACATCTCAGACTCTTATAGATGTTGGTTGTTTCCCCTTTGTGTTTGCTCTATAGTCTGCATTAGAAATACTGTACAGACAATAGAAGCCACAAGTAATGAGCAGTCACAGAAAATATTATAGCTTACTGCCACGATTTAATAAATCAACATTAGGGATACTTAATTTGCCATCTCCCTTTGGACGAGCAATGCTTAATATTGGTTGATCTTTGCTCATATTCCATTCCATGCCCAGTTACATTACAACACAATTGCCATCTCTGTGTATTCGGAGCCACACTAAATTATTACACTGTGAAAAACGAACAACTATTTCATTGCAAAAACAGCAAAGGTGGTTAAAGGGAAAATTCTGATGGGGGAGACAGATAATGAACCACCTTGCAGCAGGCTCCGTGCAGTGACACCATTCAACACATAAATAGTTTCTTCTTCGAGACGCTGCAGTATATCATCTGATTAGCACACATAAGCAGCCTGTGACCTCCAACACAGCTGTAGGGCTAAGGCCAAATGAAAAAGGACTGCTGATGCCCCATGACCCGTCACCTTGTCTCGGAAAAGGAGAAATCCTGCTTGGGGAGTCGTTTGTCTTTGCTGGGAGCGACTCCGAGCACGGTACTAGTTTTCCACTACAGCAACAACAGCTTGTCAATTCCACCTAAATCTCGGGTGAGATTAATTACAACATTCTAATGTGGAGCGCAGACTCGCCATGCTGACCTTCGTGATAGGGGACATGTAAAAAAAATATACCTGGCCTTTTGTCACTTAAATCAAATGAATAGCAGAGTGCAGATGCAAGCAGTGAAAGCTCAAAGGTGGCAGCGTAGTGGATGTTGTGAGTGTGTAATTAGGGTGCAAACTGGGAAATATAACGCACTATATTCTTGGTTCTTTCGGTAAAGTCACGTGACTTTACCGAAAGAACCAAGAGTATGCATTCCTGCAGTCACGAAAGTTTTAAGTCAAAATTTAATATAACGCACTGTTAGTGCGTCGAACAGCTGCAGCCCGTTTAATTAAGAATTATGACAATTACACCACAGCGTAAATCAATCATCTCACATCAGCGTCAAAACTGGGACAATGCAGAAACATTTCACATTTAACATTTAACTATGTTATGGGCGGCTTGACTAAATCTACGATTTGGGTTTAACAATGTCAAACATCCTTTTTAATAGCCCGTTTCTTTGTATTTTTTCAACTATAAGAAACGCTAAATGTTTCATATTCCATTAGTATAAAGTTTTGCTCCGTCTTGAGTTGGGCTTTTACCAGATGTAGATACATTTTTCAAGTTGTGGGGAGACGCAAACAGCAAAAAATACAGGGGAAAGGAAATACTGCCTATTTTAATGCCCAAAAAACAAAAAAAAAACGAGCACATAAATATTCCAGGAACACAGTGGCAATAATCCTCACTGGGATTCAAGTGGGCAAGTGCAACATGTTAATACGCGATTGCAATACACAGTGTTCAGTTTCTGTGCCCGCTTAGGGTGAAGGGTAGGTCGACCTTTGCCTACAGCTGCCTGCCAGGTTTTTATTCGAGAAGCCTCAAAAGGAATGGCTGCAGTCTATATGATATATACACACACGTGATGTATGTCAGTCCGATGTCCTTAATTTAACGATGTGACCGTGCATTGCGATTCATTATCTGTTTTGTGAAGGTGGTCTGAGTTATACGAGGCCAGATAAAAAAAACATTTATTCACTAGCCGTTGGCAATTTTTATCAGTATGAGATTTGGCCTATGATATCAGCACACTATTATGTAATCTCACGCACGATATTTAGCAAAAAATGTGTTTTTCTGAAATGCATCCTAATTTATCCGAGTTATTTACTAAGTTGAAAACCTGCAGCAATCTGTAAATTGGGTTTTCATTAATAAATATGAGAAATATCTTGACCTGTTTGGATCAAATTGCCCTGTTTTTACCCAACATTGAAAAACCTGCACATTTTTTTCGATTAAAATTTCCATTTTCCAAAAATGTAATAATTTCTAACAGCCTCAACTGATTTCATGAACTGTGGTGAATGCACCGATTTTGACAGTATCCTCCCAATTTGCCCAAATTGGTTATGTGTAGCTTGTTTTGGTTCAAAATATTCAACTTCATCCTATATGCCAAAACGCACGTATTTAACAAATATAACAGAACATATACATATTTATCCTGGTCATGTGCACTTTTTACCCATCCAATCAATTTTCAAAATAACTTTAAATCTAATAAACATTTAACATCAGGGTTAGCTCTCGCATATCTTGTAAATTTATTTTACCGTTTTCACTGGATACATTTGTAGTACTGAAACATAACCAGTAGTGTCACAAAAACAAATTCAAATGATGAATTTTCTATTCCACATATCATCTCTGATTAACTATGTTTTCTTGAGCAGCCTATGTGCATCAGAGAGGTCATATACTACAATTACGTTGTCGGTAGCTCTGATGACATGCAGACAAATGTGATTTGGTTTTCCCCAAAAAAAAGATTCAGTTTGTAATGCATTTACTTGGGTTCAATAAAATATTGTCATCATCTTCATTATCATCAGCCACCATCTATTCACTGCTGGCTAAATGCCTCCCCAAACCTCTGCCAACGCTCTCGGTCCTGCTATGTGATGACCCACCTTGCTACGGCACGCTGGGCTCATCTCGTCCCTCCCTAGCACCTCGGCAAAGTCTCAAGCCAATTATAAATATAAGAAAGTGAACTGGAAACACGGTATATTTTCACTGGCTCAGGGACCATAGCTACAGCGGTGAGGATGTGTGATGCAGTGGTGAGGATGTGTGATGCAGTGGTGAGGATGTGTGGTGCAGTGGTGAGGATATGTGATGCAGTGGTGAGGATGTGTGATGCAGTGGTGAGGATTGTGATACAGTGGTCAGGATGTGTGACGCAGTGGTGAGGATGTGTGATGCAGTGGTGAGGATGTGTGACCCAGTGGTGAGGATGTGTGACCCAGTGGTGAGGATGTGTGATGCAGTGGTGAGCATGTGTGATGCAGTGGTGAGGATGTGTGATGCAGTGGTGAGCATGTGTGATGCAGTGGTGTGGATGTGTGGTGCAGTGGTGAGGATGTGTGATGCAGTAGTGAGGATGTGTGATGCAGTGGTGAGGATGTGTGACGCAGTGGTGAGGATGTGTGACGCAGTGGTGAGGATGTGTGATGCAGTGGTGAGGATGTGTGATGCAGTGGTGAGGATGTGTGATGCAGTGGTGAGGATGTGTGACGCAGTGGTGAGGATGTGTGACGCAGTGGTGAGGATGTGTGGTGCAGTGGTGAGGATGTGTGGTGCAGTGGTGAGGATGTGTGACGCAGTGGTGAGGATGTGTGACGCAGTGGTGAGATGTGTGATGCAGTGGTGAGGATGTGTGACCAGTGGCGAGGATGTGTGACGCAGTGGTGAGGATGTGTGGTGCAGTGGTGAGGATGTGTGGTGCAGTGTGAGGATGTGTGATGCAGTGGTGAGGATGTGTGATGCAGTGGTGAGGATGTGTGACGCAGTGGTGAGGATGTGTGACCCAGTGGTGAGGATGTGTGACGCAGTGGTGAGGATGTGTGACCAGTGGTGAGGATGTGTGACCCAGTGGTGAGGATGTGTGATGCAGTGGTGAGGATGTGTGACCAGTGGTGAGGATGTGTGACCAGTGGTGAGGATGTGTGATGCAGTGGTGAGGATGTGTGGTGCAGTGGTGAGGATGTGTGACGCAGTGGTGAGGATGTGTGGTGCAGTGGTGAGGATGTGTGACGCAGTGGTGAGGATGTGTGACCCAGTGGTGAGGATGTGTGACCAGTGGTGAGGATGTGTGACCCAGTGGTGAGGATGTGTGACGCAGTGGTGAGGATGTGTGACGCAGTGGTGAGGATGTGTGGTGCAGTGGTGAGGATGTGTGGTGCAGTGGTGAGGATGTGTGACGCAGTGGTGAGGATGTGTGACGCAGTGGTGAGGATGTGTGACGCAGTGGTGAGGATGTGTGATGCAGTGGTGAGGATGTGTGATGCAGTGGTGAGGATGTGTGACCCAGTGGCGAGGATGTGTGACGCAGTGGTGAGGATGTGTGGTGCAGTGGTGAGGATGTGTGGTGCAGTGGTGAGGATGTGTGATGCAGTGGTGAGGATGTGTGACGCAGTGGTGAGGATGTGTGGTGCAGTGGTGAGGATGTGTGATGCAGTGGTGAGGATGTGTGATGCAGTGGTGAGGATGTGGTGCAGTGGTGAGGATGTGTGACGCAGTGGTGATGATGTGTGATGCAGTGGGAGGATGTGTGACCCAGTGGTGGGATATGTGATGCAGTGGTGAGGATGTGTGATGCAGTGGTGAGGATGTGTGACCCAGTGGTGAGGATGTGTGATGCAGTGGTGAGGATGTGTGAGCCAGTGGTGAGGATGTGTGACCCAGTGGTGAGGATGTGTGATGCAGTGGTGAGGATGTGTGACGCAGTGGTGAGGATGTGTGACCCAGTGGTGAGGATGTGTGACCAGTGGTGAGGATGTGTGACGCAGTGGTGAGGATGTGTGATGCAGTGGGGAGGATGTGTGACCCAGTGGTGTGGATATGTGATGCAGTGGTGAGGATGTGTGATGCAGTGGTGAGGATGTGTGACCCAGTGGTGAGGATGTGTGACCCAGTGGTGAGGATGTGTGATGCAGTGGTGAGGATGTGTGACCCAGTGGTGAGGATGTGTGACCCAGTGGTGAGGATGTGTGATGCAGTGGTGAGGATGTGTGACCAGTGGTGAGGATGTGTGACCCAGTGGTGAGGATGTGTGACCCAGTGGTGTGGATGTGTGATGCAGTGGTGAGCATGTGTGATGCAGTGGTGAGGATGTGTGACCCAGTGGTGAGGATGTGTGACCCAGTGGTGAGGATGTGTGACCCAGTGGTGAGGATGTGTGACCCAGTGGTGTGGATGTGTGATGCAGTGGTGAGCATGTGTGATGCTGCAAGTGGAACATGCCCGGGTGGGCTATCCCACTGCTCCAGGACTACACGTCTGACACCAAGGATACTTTGGCAAGACAGCGAGTGGGAATTCAAACGTGGTGCATTACAGTTAACGTTCCCACCTGTCCCAGTTTTCCTAGACTCGTCCACTTATTTAGACCCACGGACTATGTGGAGCATAGCGCCTTTGTGAAAGCCTTGCACTATAATGAGCATAACAATGGTGCAAATACCAAACGTATACCCAAGTCCGGTGTTTCTTGGTCGGGCTGTGTGTTGAGCATTTCCCCCCTCAAGCTTTCACCGCGTGCATCTCCATCCAGGAGGATATGGAAGGGAAGGTGGGGGGGTATATAATTGTAAGTGCTGGGTCACCTAAGCGTGTTGGCCGGGTGGCAGGGGCACATCTCGTTGCAGGCGATGCCGTAGAAGCCGTCGTGGCACACGCGGTCCTGGCAGCGCGTGCCGGTGAAGCCCGCCTCGCACAGGCACTCGCCGCTCACGTGGTAGCACTTGGCGCCGTTCGCGCAGTCGCAGCGCTTGCCGCAGCCCAGCCCGTAGCGGCCGATGGGGCATTCTTCCTGGCACCTGCGTGGCGGTAGGGAGGGGGTGGCAGGGGAGGGAGGGCCGATAGCGACGAGGCACGGGTGCCGCGTGTGTGAAGCGAGCGTTGATCGGGTACGTTCGACGCGGTGAGCGCCTGCTGCCTTGCAGCCACTGCTGTCACCTGCCCTGCTTTTTCCCCTCCAGGGTTGTTCTCGTCTTGAGTTTGCTGTCCTGGGGAATATGTACGCATTGTATTCTAGGAACATTAACAGTCGATTTTATTTTACAGTTTTTGACAATATACCACTCAAGACCATGCATTTGTGTGTTGTTCTCCCCCTATTGCAAATGAGATACTCCTATTCACAAGGTATGTCCCAGGTTTTTGCAGCTCAGGTGGCAACCCTACTTGCAATCGGAGTGGGAAACTTTTTTAATGTCTGAGGGCCAAATAGGACTGTCAATACCTCTATCGGGCAACTCCACATTAACACACACCACCTCAGTCGTCGCTTCCCTCGCTGCAAGAGGCCCCTGCCATCTAAAGTTACTAAGCGTGCTAAAATGTTATCTTATAATTATTTTGTAATCGAGGTGTTTGTCTTGCCAGGCGAACATGGAAAGGTTTGCACCTTATGCATTTGTTAGATTGTTTACATCTGACTATAGCGAATAATATATTTATGACGCTGGTTTGTTCTCGAATTCTAAACGTTGTGGGTTTACTCTCCAACACACCAGTGTACTGAACTAATAACGAATTGGCACGTTGTTTTTACGTGACACGCCTTACTAATTGGCTGTGTCGGGTGGTGACGGGTTTAACGACACATTTATATTACGCGAAAGCCTACGCGTTAAACTGACATTCATCATGGACTAGCAAAACATACAAAAAAAATTGCCAGAATTTAAATATTCCACTCGAACAGGATACATGTGAATAAGATGCTTGCGGTGATGGATAATTCTCGTTTGTAGGCCGTTTAAATTCGGTAGCCCTCATGTGGCCGTGGGCTCTATGAAATTGAGTTGTGTGCCCGGCATGAGAGGACAACAGCAGCTGATTTTACGGATAAATTTTGGAAATGTTAATAACAAAAACGTCATCGCCATTGCGGTTTACACCACTTTATTTGCTTTAAGTGGAACGCTCATCGATAATTATTTATCAAGTTTGATCTCAGGATGCAAACATTGAACCACGTGTGCAAGCATTCAATTATAATTTAGTATAGATTTATTTTTAAGCATCGATGCATGTCAACCCATATGTGTTGCATGCAATATACGTACACCACATGCAATTTGCCAGACAAATACAGCAGGGTTTGCACGTTTGTATTTGTTAAACGGTTTATGTGTCTATATAATGCACGCTAATTTACCATAACTAATAAAACATTAAATGTTTATTCTCCTGTAACACATAAAATTTACAAAGGCAGAACAAATAACCTTAACCCAATAAAATATCCAAAACGATTCAAATTTGAAAACCAATTAACAGACGTATGGGCGGGCTTAGCATTTCATTAGTTTCCATTGTATCGTTAACTTCTCATTTGTCATAACAATTAGGCAGCAACAACGGTTTCCGTTAATCTACATCTATAAGGTGAAATGTGCGCGGTCACGTAACATTTCCAGTGGCGCAGGCATAAAAGCAACATTACACATCAGGGGATGACTTTCTTATATGTAGTAAATTCACTATATCGTTTCACCAGGGACTTTTACAGTGCTAATGCATACACAGTAATGTCTCAATAGCACACAGAGATGACGAATTTCCTCTGCGACATATCGCCTTTGCTGGAACAATGTGTTCTTGTGCAACTCTGTGTATCAGACAAGGAGGTGTTACTTTACTATAATTCTGCGTCGTCAGCTGGTCCGATGGGATGGCAAAAATAATAATAATAATAATAATGAGTCGTGGTGTTTCTCATCAACAAAAAGACATCGGAAAAGTTATGAAACAAATTTCTGTTGCATCACTAACGTAACTGTATTTGACGGCGAATATACTACGGAAGTCGCAAGTATCTTGCGTTACATACCCAAAATCTAGAAATAATTTTAAAATGTGCAAAGAAAGCTATAGAAATGAACGAAAATTGTGCAAATAATCTGACAGTCTGGTTCCATTATTGCAGTGCAATTCTCACCAGCGGTATACTGCATAGCTTGGCAAAAAAAAACATGGGAACTCCTCGTCATTGCTACGTGGATTCGGAGGAGGGGGAAACTGCGGGTGGATAACGAATGTGGACGTCACGTGAGGATTCAAGACAAACTAACCACTGCTTACCGCCCTGGGCAAAGCAAATGCGGCATCCGTGGATTCATGCGCGTGGGCTTTTCGAAGGCGTTAAGTTTCGTTGAGGAGTTGATATTTGTGCAAATGAATCCCACTATTTCAGCGTTTGCGTGATCGGAGCTGTAATTGTAATTTATGATAAAGATATGCCTCTTTGGCAGAAAAGGTTTTATTTATCTTAGGAGCATTATTAAACACTCGAGGATACTGTTATGCAAATGGAGATTTCATAAATAATGTAAAGTAATCAAAACCTCATATAAAAGCCTCACATAAAATACAATATTCAATAGTTTCCACAAATTGGAGGCGAACACTCTCTTAAAGTGCCTTAATAATTAGTGCCAGCTATTTAAATCTAAACTTACAAATATTAATGAAATATTTAAATTATTATAATTACATTTTTGCAAAACATGCTACATTTTCTTTTATTAAACATCCAGCTATAAAGCGTTGGCTTTGTTTATCGTAACTTTTGTTTTACTTATGTATAAAATATATCACTACAACTTCCATAAAGATTTATATAACGAACAAAAACATTGCATACTCTTTGGTAATTTCGGTAAAGTCACGTAGGTGAAAAAATTAAATGAAAATAAAAAATTAAGAAAAAAAAAATAGAAATATCTAAATAAAAATGTTTTTCACCTACGTGACTTTACCGAAAGAACCAAAGAGTATGGATCCTTGCAGTCGCGAAACTGAGTGCATAATACAGAGAGAAAATGCAATGGAAAAGCATTGCATTTATCAAGCTAGATTATTCCTGCTTCTCTAATTCTGTATTTGTATGCATCATCATTATCATCAGCCATGATCAATCCACTTTTTGACGAAGTCCCCCCACCCCAAAACCATAATGCTCCTTCATGATCCTATGATGTAATCATCCACCTTGCACAAACATTTTCCACTTGCACTAAAATCAATGCAGTAGCTCCCTGGCAAAATGTTCGAGTGGGACAATCCAGAAGTCTGCCAGCTGCCGCGGCCAGATCAAGTCGCTCCAGAAGGCACAGCATTCTACCCAATGTGCATTTCATTGCAGTGAAAATAAACAAGTTCAAGTCGAGCTGGTGCAATCTTCAGGGGAGATGATTGTATTGGGCACAGGCAGAGAATTGGTCAAGTGTGGCACTTTGAGGTTTGCTTCTTGTAAACCTAGGGTTTACTTCTTAAACAGGCTGATTTATTGTTTATTTTGGCAGAGAGTTGATAGGCAACATTTGTGTGTTCATCTCAAGGTTAGTGAGTCATCCAGTGGGTGGATTCAGATGGAACCTATTGAATATCTCAACGGCTGCCAGTGAATGATGGAAGCAGGCAGTGGTGTTGCTGCGTCGGCCATGGTTTGAGATTTGGTGACCACAGTCCAGTCCACACTCTGGGCTGTTCTTAATTGCCAATTAGTGTAAGAGATAGCTGCCTGATTTTCTTGCTTATCTGTCCTTATGAAACAAAAAAAACTGGAATTAACATACTACTGTGTTAACTCTATTGTCGTGGGAGTTTTACTGGCCCTACCAAGACTGCCTATCATACTCTTATGCAACCTAATAGCTCGTACAATAAAAAGTTAATCATACGAATGGGTGAGAACGACAGTTAAACATTTCAGTTAGGGATTGCTTAATATTGGACCATACACCATGGCTTAAATTTTTGCAGGTTCCTATAGGAACGTCTCGTACACATAAATTTCAGTCCTCTGGACACAATGCTCATACAGCAGAGACGATATAACATTTCCTGCCGCCACAAACCATTGTACACGTAATCGTAAAATGTCTACACTTCTTTAAATTATGCGTTGTGAGTGTACAACTGTTTGGATATTGCATTGGCAGCACAATGTGTTTGTGACACTGTGTTCAAAACATGCAAGCATTATGGAATCCTAATTGTGTCCGCATTGGTGTCCTGTGGACCATTTAGGATGTGGCATGTTACAAGATGTTGTAGTTCAGAACAAGTTCGTCCAACAGCATTGCTCAATGGTGACCAAGACAGGAACGGGGACTTGCGTATAAAGAAGCTGGGATGACATGCAAATAGCATTGTTGTCCCAGGTGGCCATAGCAGCTGTAGATGTGTGCTCGGTGGATGGGGTTTTTCCTGAACGTGACATTACTCTTGGGAACATATGGAATTTAAAAGTTGAATTTCCTATGGGATATACCCTAAGGGTCACACTGTAGGGTAATGCCTACACGTATTGCATTTTACAAAAAATATATATAATATTATCTTAGACTCAAGCAATGCTCATTCTTTTAGAAGACGTCACGCAATAAAAATGCGCCGTTATTTTTGGGCCGAACAATTTTTGAATCGCTGAAAAAGTGCACGAAATCTGGCGTCAAGACTTGTGGTGCTGTGAACTCTTGGTTTTCCTATATCAGATTTCGTACATAATATCTCATTGGTTGATGTGTGATTTTATTTTAAATTGGGAGAAATAAAAAGCAACTAGGATTTCAGGAAATGACATTCTTCATGCCTTATGCATGCAAAAACTTTTAAGAATATTAAAATTTGCTTCAAACTAAAGAACACTTTTTTGAATTGGTATATTTCTTTATTTACGTTTTCACTTTTTAAAAAATGTAAGTCATCAAATTGCAGTTTCACTTGCAGTGACTGACTGACACAAAGTGAACCAGATGTCCTTCGCACAACACCAAAAAACCAATTTGTTGCGTATTCTCCATCTTTCGACTTTCAGGAAAGATGGGGCCACATTTCCATTTGTGTAGGCTCATTAGTTTTTGATGCCCTCAATTTTCTATGCTGAAAGAGATCAATTTTTAATCAGTTTTTGTTTCTGCAGAAAGCTACCAGTACTTTTTCATTACAGTTCAACATCATGCGAGCAATTGTCAATGAATACGTCAACGCAAGTCTTGCGATAACAAGCTGATCTTTTTTCATGTAGATGTACATTCTAAAATTATATTCCTGTACATCGAATGCCATGTGAATTCCACTTGCGATTGCTCATAACATAATTGACTCAGGCTTGCTATATCATGTATGTATATAAATATTTTTCTCTCTGTATTATGCACTCATTTTAAACTCATTTATTTGGAATTAGGCTCCTATTCTTTTGAATCCTTTACAAGCTGACCTTTACATCGAAAGTAATTAAAGTGAATAACCGCTGTGGCAGGGTGAAGTGAGGATTTTTCACAGGTCAGGGAATTTGTATCCTATGAGGACAACAACCTAACAATCACTTGTGTTAATAGAGGCTGGGGTACAAATGTGTTCAAAGTTAGTTAACAGGCAGGTGGCATGTGGTGTGGTAAAGTGTGGGCACTATAACCTCTCCAAGACATCTGGGCAGCGTGGAAGAGTAGACCAACATACCTTCTAGAGGGGCTCTAGAGCGATGTGTCGCGGAGGCCCTTCTGCCAGCAGTGGTGTGAGTGAGAAATTGTATGGCCGCACCTTTACCTTTATACAAATGTATTTTGACTGTAGGGGGCAGGTGTGGGGGGGGGGGTACATGCCTACAATCCAGCGATTTGGAGGCAGTGCTGGGGAATCGTTCTGAGATGATATTCATGAGACACTCAGCTACTGGTCAGCAAGGTGCACAGAGTAAATACTATATTTGTAAAGTGTACATACGTGAAACAATAGTGCATCGTCCACACTTGTGCATTTCCCTTACAATCAGTGGTTAAGGCTTCATCGGGTTTCTTATTTGGATAATATGAAATGCTAGAACATTAAGTGATATATTGTAAGTGGTAAAATATTTTAAACGTAATGCAACTTCATTTCTTTTTCGCAAAACGTCACATATAGTTGAGTATATTGTGATTCCTTTTTGTCTTGGTTACTATTTCGACCCTGTGTCATTTTGGCTCTTTTGATCACATATTCTGCATTGCTTTGCGTCCCAGGTCTCCCTCAAACGAGATGCCTTTAATCTCGACGGGCTATCAGCTGGAATATAAAGATTCTGATTTGATTTGACGTAAACAGCACAGCAATCGAGAAGGCTGCCGACCAATCTGTGTGGAGCTTAAATAATACTCTGAGTTTTCTTCAGTCATTCCAAACTCTCCCCAATGTGTAAAAAAAGACTCGAAAAAAATAACAAAACTACTAAAGAATACTCAAAAAGGTACCTGCCAAACATTGAAATGCAAGGTTCTCCTCAAAATGAGATATTCACGGTTGAATAGAAAACAGCAACTTCCACAACGACATTTATACATTATGTAATGCTTGAGTCACTAAAATAACCGATACCATTTTTTTTATTGTAAGATGCTCCAGACAGTAAAAATGTGTGCCCGGTGTCATTAAAGTTATACAAATCAAACTCACACGCACCTATCAGATTACAATAAGATGCATCTCAAACTTTTTCTTAAAATATGGGGGGAAAAGTGTGTCTTATAATACGAAGAATACGGTGTTGTATTGCACAATGATCACGAATTAAATATGTTAGTCAATTCTGTCCTTCTAAATATTTTGTGAGGTCAACCAAGTTTCGAGAGCTGACAAGTTAGGTGGAGTGGGCTTCAGTACACAAGGTGATCACATGACACCTCCATAACAATGATCACAACAACATCATCATCATCATCATCCATAATAATCAATCCACTATTGGACGATAGCCTACCAAAGCACCAACTGATTCCGGTTGACGTCATCTTGCACGAATTGAGTGGTGACCAAGAGCTTACAAGAAACGCAAGTGCGCTACACTCAACGTGATGACCACATTATACCGACACAAGATGTCCACAACAAACATCATTCTTTTTTTCTCTCCAAGTAGAAAAGGCACGTGTTTTCCTGCTCATAATGGGATAACAGACGTACAAAAGTCACAAGCCATGGTGTCCAGCAACAGAGCAGCCCCAATAGTTACATCAGAGGCAGCAGCAGCAGCCTCACTAGAATGATATGAATGAAACATGCTGTTCTCACCTGTCTCCGGTGAATCCTGCTGCGCAGTGGCATTGTCCAGAAATGTGGTCGCACTGCCCTCCATTGTGGCACTGGCACTCTTGAGAGCAATTTATACCGTATTTGCTGGGTGGACAGGGCTGACCACACACAAACCCCTGCACCAGAGAGATAGAACAAGAAAAATAGAAAGCGCATTTTTTTTATTGCAGTGTTCATCTTTAAGCAATGTCGTCCATAGGACAAAACAAGAACGTTTATTCACCAGGTTTAAACTAAGCTTCCATGCATGACAGCTGACACCGTTTCCTGTCACATAAATTAGCGACCAAGGCAGACAGGTTTTTTTCTTGCATTTATCTATACCATAAATCTGCATATTGTTGTCAATAAATCCAAAGTGTGAAAGCTTTAATATTAAACATGTGACTGATAACACAGGCTGTGGCATCGAAGAAACATTTCATGAAATAAAAAGGGGCTTTAAAATAATTTGTGCTGCTGATTCATTGCATGTTTGTACCTGCCTTAACAACGGTGAACACAATACAAATTTAAGACTTTCCATTTTTCAACACAGAACTATGAATTTTCAGTTTCGAATTAAAACAAATCATATACATTACCTTGACATTTCTGCACAAAAATACCCTTAATTATAAAAAGTTCCACATTCTTCCGGATTTTTTTTCCAAGGATGAACTTTATAACAAGACCACCATGGCATCCCTGTGTTTTTGTCATGTATTATTACATCCATAATTCATACAACATTTGCTGTATGTCTTTTATATTAATATTTAATGTGGTGTTTATTACAAGTTTTTGCATTTTCCAGGGCCCGGAGATATGAGCAGCTCATGCAGCTGAAACTAAATTTTTATAGAATGTTGGGGCTTATTTACTTGTTGGATTGTTTTGAAGGCTCCTTGGACTTTCCCCAAGTATCTAACACATTCCAATAAAAACTAAAATACCACCCCAAGCTCACACTGCACGCGCACCCAGCCTCTGACCTCAACTTCAACCTACATCTCGCTCCCTCCATCCTCGTCGGCCTCATCCACTCATCTAACTGCCGTGGAGAGTGTGTGCGCCTGTGTGTGGAGCGTCGGGGGGCGATAGTGCAACGGTTCGCGTGATGCACCACAAACCCGGCGACCCGAGTTTGATTCCCGCTCATGGCCAACATGAGCGATGACCATCTGAATCGGTCTCTCCTAGGCCGACTCAGCCTTCAATGAGTACCTGCAGCGTGTAAATAGCAGCACTGGGGAGACAAAGGCAGCCTGGCATTGCGCCGGCCACAAACCCACCCTCTCATGTGCCGTGCCGGCCTGAGTGGGTGTTCATGGACACTACTTGCTCCGACAGTCTGTTCAAGGCTATAGGGGGGGTTATCTTTGGCTATTGTGTGTGTGTGTGCGTGTGCATATATACCATCCAGCCCGCTGGGCAGGAGCACTCTCCCGTTACGTGGTGACACACGCCTCCGTTCTGACACGGACATCGCAGCTCGCACTGGGCTCCGTGGCTCCCGGGAGGACAAACCTCCTCACAGCTGTCTCGGCACGCAAGCGCACAAGTGGACACGCGCACACGCACGCGCGCGCGCACCCCACGGGAACGACAAAATACGGTCAAACAATCACACCCATTTGTACAGAAAACGCGCAAGAAGCCTGCTGCCATCGACGTCAGCAGCAGAAACAGCAGCCATGCTAAATTTCGATTTAAAGCTTTCGTGACTGCAGGATTCATCTTCTTGGTTCTTTCGGTAAGTCACGTAGAAGGGAAGTAATACAATAATAAAACATAATAAAATAATTCCCACGACGTTTCGGCCACAACGCAAGCAGCCGTCCTCAGGTGAAGACGAGGTCTGTCGGGGAGACAGCGTCTGTCGGGGAGACAGCTGTCTCCCCTGAGAACGGGTGCTTGCATTGTGGCCGAAACGTCATGATAATTATTTTATTGCGTTTTATTTTTATTATTTTATTACTTCCCTTCTACGTGACTTTACCGAAAGAACCAAGAAGAAGCAGCCATGCTCTAACCACTGCTGGGCTGATGCCTCCGTCTGTTATGGTCTCGCAATGTAACAAGCTGCGAGCACGTGCACACGAGATGATTCAATCGCTCCGTGCCCTCGGTAGACATTCTCTCGGGTGTGGTTTGTCTCGACAACATTTCTAAACGACACGAAGACGACGTTTGATCATTTCACATGCGTGTATATGGAGTGTCGTATGCTTGCTGCCCAGTCAAATTATTCAAAGCTATAATAATCCTTCATCTATTTTACAACAGCAACAATGCTCTATTGTACGCACTATACTAAAGTACAATATAGTGGGGTTTCAAATAATGATATAAATGTACACCCCTTTGTCAATCCACTGCTAAATGAAGTGCTGTATATCAAATAAGTTGAGAAAAGGGCTGACAAAACAGATATCATATGCCTTCAAAGGTACAATAAATATATTTGTCTTCTCCTGCGTTGGCTCTTGAGTTACAGGAACACAACTGTCTCCTACGCCACAATTTTCTGTCCGTTGCTGCATCTTTAAATTGAGATAACTTACTCTCAATCCAAAATTAAATCACAGGAATGTTATACTTGGAAGAAGATTAATTTTATTCCAAACTATTAATATACCCAACGATAAAAACGAAACCTACACGAACGTAGCGTGTGCTTACTCATCTGCTGGTGTTGAAGCCCATGTGTGTTATTGAAAGTTAAAGTATACAGTTTTGTCGAGGGTCATTCATTCTAAAGTTCTGGCTAGAATCTCACTAAAATTCAATAACATCTCTGGCCTGCCTGAATTCCCAATATGCAGTTCATTCTGATCAAATTGGGCTTCTTTTTCTTTAATAGGGACTGAGGAACCCTATAACAAAATAGAAAGAACACTGCATCTCAGAAAATATACCTAGATGCTCGTACCACACTTTAAATAAATGAATAATAATAATAAAACGAAAATAGTATTTTTTTTATATGAGTATTTACTCAGGAAAGCCCCACCGAGTTCTGAAACTCTTTTTGCAGGAAGACAGGCAGACTAAAATCAATCAGCATCATTAGTTCGAGCAAGCAAAACTCTTGACCAGTTTAGACATTCTGAGTCTCATCCATCAGAGAGGCTTACTAAACTGGATCAGAGTCCAGAATTGTATTTTCCACAGAGTAAAGCCCGCTGAGCTAAGATGCTCTTTGTCAAAGGCGGCTTGGCCCAGCCGACATCAACAAATGCTGCTGGGTTTTACCAGATGTGATTAGCCAGGGCACTCCATCTGGAAATCCGAAAGGCTCATAACTTAAACATTATTTATCACGGAGACAGAATGATCGTCTGTTTATATATGTTATCAACCATGATTCTCCACATCTACGCATAATGAGCAGTGCCGGATGCGATGTGTCTACCAACAAGGACGAGGACATGCTTCCTGCTGCTTGACCACTCGGGCGTTCATCTTTCTTGGCCGACTGAAACCCTCACGCATATCGGCGATCCACCCACAAATTCATCATCTTCAGCGCTGCATTGCATTAAAAACATTTCCGATGCTCCATACCCGATGATTTTTTGTTTTATTTATAAGGTTTTGATAAGAGTCTGCATCTGTGTAAAGGAAATTACTACTGGAGTTCTGAACAGCGGCGGCGGTGGCGGTGGTGGTGGTGTCGCGCAGTCACTCACAATGCACCGGTGAAGCCGGGCGGGCAGTGGCACTCGCCCGTCACGTGGTCACACGTAGCACCGTTCTGGCACTGACACCGCAGCTGGCAGCCCAAGCCGTAGGTGGTGGTGGGGCACGACTCCTCGCAGCGCCAGCCCTGGAAGCCGGCGGCGCACACGCAGGCGCCGGTGATGGGGTTGCAGCGCGCCCCATTGCGGCACTGGCAGCGGTTGCTGCAGTGGGGACCCCAGTGCTCGATGTCGCAGCCTGGAGTACACGCGGGGGGGGGGGGGGGAAACACGACGCCAATTAGTGCGAGGCACGAAGTCCGCGTCGCGTACCGACACTCCGAGCCCCCTTCGCCATTGTTGCGCTGCATGGCGAGCGCGTCTTCCAAAAATATCCACACTCCTTGGTTGTTTCGGTAAAGTCACGTAGAAGGGAAATAATAAAATAAACATAATACAATACAATTCTCACGATGTTTCGGCCACAACGCAAGCAGCCGTCCTCAGGTGAAGACCAGGTCTGTCGGAAAGACAGTGTCTGAAGTCTTTCCGACAGCCCTGTTCTTCACCTGAGGACGGCTGCTTGCGTTGTGGCCGAAACGTGGTGAGAATTGTATTTTATTATGTTTTATTTTCATTATTTTATTATTTCCCTTCTATGTGACTTTACCGAAAGAACCAAGAAGATGAATCCCTGCAGTCACGAAAGCTTTAAATCGAAAAATATCCACACTATTTTTTTTTTTCACTGAACAAACGATTCAGGTACACACAGAGGGCACACGTGGGTGTTGACACCAGTATTCGACACAATGCGAAGTACAATTATTATTACCAACGTCTAAAATGTTTTACCTGTCAATGCCATGAATTTCAATAAACTCTACATCCCTGGTGTCGACTTCCTTCATATCCACACTTTTTAACGACGTCCAAATTTGTGACTTCATGGAATGCACGAGGTGCTAAATAGTCGCAAATCTTTCCCGAGAAATTTAAAATAAGGTCAATGCCGACGGATTATTGTAGCTCGTCGTACGTGTATATTTTTAATTTTATTTCGCGTTTATTTTGTATTATGATTAAGTAAGGGTAGTGCTTGGATGGATTTCCATTTTTCCCTGGTGATGAGATGGTCAAACACAGAAAGGTGTTATATATTTAATCAGATTTATATAAAATTGGTTTTTGTACACTGGAAATTATTCATAGTATCTTTCAATGCAAATCCCGTTTTATGAAAGCTAAAAATTGTGTTATTCTGAAGGTTTGTATATTACCATATCTGTAATGGAATCACTAAATTGTGTGTCAAGGAATTCAATGCTGCCTAAACTTATTTCTCTCATTACATCTACAGATCCACGTATCAAAGTGTACTCAGGAAGGAAGAGAATTATCTCCTTCTTGGCGTCCAGCTGATTAAGCTGCGATCAAAGGAAGGTCACGGCCCATAATTGCTGTCCAATTTCAAGGGGGCAACAAATAAAACAGCAAAACACAGTTTCCAAACACCGCAATGGAATCTGACACTGACGCTACGGTGTGACCGGTATCGCACTGGGCTTGCAGTCCAAATGTCGCCGGTTCAATCTCCCAGCATGGAAGTTCAAACAGCGGTGCGAGTCTCTTAAATCTCTCCACGTCTGTCCACCACCTGGCATTACTCTTAGCCGATCAGCAGGTGGCATGCGGGTGGGGTAAATTGTGAGTACGCTTGCCTCTTCCAAGTTCATCTGGTGGGCATGCAAGAGTGCGGTAACAAAAGAAATACCCACGAGAAAGGCCATCTAAAGTTCCATCTCGCAGATGCCATTTCACCAGCAGCGACGGAAGCAAGCAACTGCAATGGAATCTCGATGTCAGTCCACATGTAAATTACCCCAGTAGGCACATGAATTGAACTAGGGGGCTGAAAGGTACGTATTACGCACTTTGCTGTAGATATGAATTATTGGCATCATCATAAACGCTCTTGTTTTCACACCGATGTGTACTTAAACTAAATTAAAACTGACTTAACGTTTTATTTTACCGGGTAAGGCCCACTGAGCTACATAGCTCTTTTCATAAGTAACCTGGCCACAAATGATAGCCCAAAAAGTCGCTTATCACGTAGAAATGTATAGCATGCAAATACTTTAAACGCATGTTGATTCAAAATGTGGAGGAAAAACCAGAGGACCCGGAGAAAAATCCACACGATCACAGGGAGAACACGCAAACTCCAAATATATAGGTGTCAGGGTCGGGATCAAACCCCTGACCTCCTGCATACTAGGCGAGGTAATTAACATCTCACCACGGCGACGAGAGGATACTCGTGTTGAGTCACCGTTAGCTAATGCCCTTGTTGTGATGGTGTACCACTACACTGCTATTTATGGAAGCGGAACAAAAGTTGAAACCTATTTCGCTGGCGTTACCCAGAAAAGTTTCACCGAGTCTCAAGGCTCTTTTTCAGGAGGGTTCTGCCAAGTTTTGCATTAGAGGGCGATGATGTTGCGGCTATGTGTAATGCCATTTGAGTAGTTTGCAGGTAATTGGAATGTTTGGCTGAGACTAGTTATATTGGGATTATTTTTTAGCAATGGGGAGATATTGGAGGAAACCCATGCACAACAGGGGGAGAACATCAGTGACTGCAAGAATTCATATTCCTGGTTCTTTCGGTAGCTACATCTGGAGGTTGGCCTCTTTTCTTTCCACCTGAAGAAGACCACTTGTGTTGCGATCGAAACGTCGTGGGTTTTTTGCTTTAAATTTAGATTTTTTTCTTTACTATCTCCGTGACTTTACCGAAAGAACCAAAAATATAGGGGGAGAACATACAAATTCCACGTCGAAAGGTGCACGAGTCGAGCATCGAACCCAAACAAGTCTTCCCGTGACACACAAGAGTTACCACTGTGCCACCCTGCTGCCCCATCAAGAACAATGAACCCTAATCTACAGATCTTTATCAAGCCACTGCTGTGTCTGACCATCCTTCACCATGCCAGTCAGTGAAGGTTAAAGGAGGAGGAAAATTGTGTCCCAGACTGACTGCGATTTGAACCTTACGAACGAACATTTTGGAATGTTTAGTCATATTCTGCGTGGTCTGTGTTTATATGTTGATGCCAAACCTGAACCTATACGTAACATTGCTTGTAGTTGTATTATTTTTATCATTCATCAAAAAAGTAAGCGGTCATTTCAAGCCTGGCATACTTTTCAACTGAGTGCACTGCGCATCACTTGCATCAGTGTGTACTAGTTCTCAGACAAACAATCAAAATGTAAATAAGACGGTGGCTATAATTGTGTTCACAACCACTGCACCCACCAAAGTGCATTTTTTGCTTTTGTAAACAAAAGTAATCTATAGCATACAGCATGTAATTTGGCTGAGCCGTAACTTTGTATTCTTCTTTTTCACAGTACAACAAAAGGTCACAATTTGCGATGATGGAACGGTGGGGGATAATGGCTCTCAGGTGGTTTGTGAATACAAAGCTGGCACGGCGTGGTACGCTGGTGGCACTAAGCAATACAAGTGTGGGCAATATCTGGGCGACAGTGGGTAAACTGAAATTAACACCCAGCCATTGGGACGACCGTGAATTGGGCTGTCTGCAGCCTCATGGCGACTCGGAGGGGAGTGCAACTGGTAAGGAATCTGTAATGAATAAAAAAAAAACGCATTCTTGTCAGAAGTAATATTGAAACAACGAGTAAGCATTATGTGTGCAGAGTTAGACTGCGGGTGCCACCAGGGAGGGTATCGTTGTGCGATGAGAATTCAGGCTGACGAAGGTCCTTCGTTGTTTTTCGTGACCTTGCCTCACTGCATTACTAATGAGCCGCACGTTTCCTCCAGAGCTCGTCAAATTGTGCTCTTGTTTTTTTCCCCATACATAGAAACCCACTTTTTTTTTGTTAATAAGAACGACTCGAAAAGACACCTCCTTCATACTGCAAGCCATCAAAATAAGCTCAGCAAAGTACGACTGCTAATGCTATCCAGCAGTGTTAAAAATAAGACTAAATACCTTTAGAGGCATACGCCAGAAGAGTATTTTAACAAATCATAATAATATTGAATATAACCTTCATACGTGTAATAATCCAATTAATGAATATGACCCTTTATAAATGTTGAATTATTTATGTGGTGTTTGTTCTTAACTCTTATTAACATTAAATATTCAAACTTGCCTCAACACGTTGCAGTACTGCACGTGGAAATTTTTTTTAAAGAAAATGGACCATATACCTTCATTTTGGTAAATCTATCGGGCTGTGAAAAATACGAATAAAAATTGCAAAAAGGTAGCATTGTTCATTAATCCTTTCAATATGAAGTTGGGTTATCTGAAGGCTTGGTGAGATCCATTCCACCTGTCCAATTTTTGACGGGAGCAGCTTGGAGTGCAAACAAAACCGGCACTACGGGCTCGCTGAGAACTTGAAGAAACATCAAATATCACCCTTCCAGATCTGCAAGCCGC